CCTGCACTTGACTCTGGCCCTGGCCCTCGGTGCCTGTGAGCAGGGTGCTTTCAGGTCTGGGGCAGTGGTGGCCAGACCACCATGTAAATATCAATGGATATAACCTACACACATACACATAACCATCTTTGGGGTTCTCAGTTCTTAAAGAGTGTCCAAGACATATCATAATCACCGTTGTGGAACTGTGACAGGAATTAGGAGTACATGTTCATGAAAGGACTTGGAATAGCTTTGTCCATTCTAAGTGCTTGGAGCCACTAACTCCTATGTCATCACTATCATGGGTGAGAAAGAACAAGCTACTCTCCCTACCTTTCAGCAGCTCAAATGCTTAGCCCTCTTTGTTGAGGGTCAGTTTGTGACCCGCCTCTGCCTCCCTATTTGGATATTGGTTCCTGGCTCTTGCTGGCTATTTTGCAAGGAAGCTGGAAGATGCTTACAGCAGTTACCTTGTACTCTACACTCAGAAGGTGGTTCTTGATTCCATGTGCCAGCAACCCTGGTTTCATATCTCCTGTAGTTGGGGCAGGGTCCTGTTTATATCTGGATCATACAGTTTAAGTCAACTGTGGACTTTATCTTGCTTTTGTTTTAGAAATCTCCACCCTGGAAAATGATGTTAGGCCTCTTGTGCTTCAGGAATCCCACAGGCTCTGAGCCCAGTATGTTTAAAATCTTATTGGTAAGAATTTACTGTTGAATGGTCAATAATGTTGATGGATGAAGGAGAATGTTGTTATAATTTTTCCTTTAAGAAAATAGTTGTGTGGGGCTGAGGTTGTTGCTCAATGGTAAAGCACTTGCCTAGCATCTGTGAGGCACTGGGTTCAATCTTCAGCACCACATAAAAATAAATAAATAATGAAGGTATTGTGTCCACCTACAACTAAAATATACACATATTTTAATTTATATATATATGTGTGTAAAAATATATTTTTACTAATACTAATATGTATATGTATACTAATGTATACTAACACTATATGCATATGTATACTAATACATATATATTTTACTAATACATACTAACATACATATTTTTACTAATATACTATAAATATATAATATTTTTACATATATATATATAAATATAAAAGAAGACAGCTGTGAAAAATGATAAGAGTGATGACTGAAAAGCTTTGGGAACACCTTTAATAAAAATGCAAGTGTACTTTGGTTTATGCTGTGCACATACTTCTGAAAAGTTGAGGCAACTTTCAAAGCCACATAGTGAACAAAACAGGGGAGTCACTCACTGGAAGAAATCAAAAGGTGACCCCTTTGGAAATACACAAAATCATCTTTTTGTGTTGCAAATCCAGTTCTCAGGTTGTGTGTTATTTATATCAAGTGAGATAGACTTATACTAAAATATTCAAAGATTTTTGGATTTTTAAATCTGAGTTGAGAGAGAACTCGCCAACTGACCTGTGAAGCCACCTCTTTGTCAGAATTCATATTAGTTTGAAATAGCACAAATGCACACTTCTTTTAAATAAGATTTAAAAAACATTTGCCCTGCTAGTTGTAATCTCACTATGTATACACAACTAGAAAGGTTGAAGAGAGTTGCAGAGAATAAGGAGACCCCGCCACGCACATTTCTCCCAATAATCAACTTCTTTGATCTTTAAAACAAAAAGGTATCCTGAATATCATACAACTTGGGGAATCAAGAGCCTCAGGCAGACAGACACTAAGACACCAGCTCATTCACCCTCCTGACTACTTACCCAGAGTGTCTGAGGGTGACTCTAGGGCCCAGAGCCAAGATATTGCTCCCCTTCATTCATTATGGGCTATGAAGTCACAGCCTCTGTAGTCATCACCCATGTCTGTACCGCACCTGCTTACATTTCTCAATGTACTTATCCCTGGGCCTAAGGGGCTCTGCATCCCAGAGGAGTCCACATCCTGGAGGAACTCATTAAAAACAAAATAATTACGCAGTACCTCCCTAGGAAAAGTTCTCTCAGAGTCTTGTATTTTTGAATGATTACAGCCACTGATCACACCTGACTATACTTTGGGGAAAGGTGGGGATGGAGAAAAGCTCCATGACACATGCTTTCTCACTGCCTGCCTAAGGAATGGAATAGTCTTGTAAAACTGCAGTCTACATTTTGGGAGATAAAGAATAGTATTTGAAGAAACCATAAATTAAGTAAAAGCCAGACTGTGAATATCTCAGGAGCATAAGAATTTATGTTTTACCCTTTGGACAAGAAGCTATAAGTAATCTCTGAGTTGAATAACACCATGAAAGACTCATATTTCGAGAATTTTTCAAGGGTAAAAGAATCTCTCACTACAACTGAACTCCTCATAACCACACTACAGGAGAGAAATAAGCCTTCCTTATTTATAGGGATTAGAATTCAACAACCCAAAGACATGTAGACATATAGGAAGGACAGGGATAAAAGATGGACTCTCACAAATTTTGTTCCATTTTTCCTCAGGCCAAAATAGAAAAGAAAATCCAAATTTGCATCCCACTGAGTTAATTCTAGCTCCTTACCTCTTTAGAAAAATTTTAATAGCACCCATCACCAACCACCATGCTCCCAACCAGTCTCTGTCAGATTATCTTGCAGCCAGTTTTTCCTTACCCTGCAATTGATCATGAAACTATAATTGATATTTATAACTCCTTCTTCAAAACCTCTTCCATGTTTCCTTTTTCATAACTAGCTACATTCAACCTTCATTCCTAGGGAATCTGAATCCCCAGTATTTTCCCCCTTTATTGGGTTACTATAATAATTTCCCATTAACGTTTACTTTTGACACCCTCCCCCAGAATCTCCTGGATATCAGAATGGTCTCTTCCTTTCCTCATTATGTAGAAAAAGGCAAACTTCCATTATTAACTGGGATTGGATTGCCACAGGCAATATACTAACTCTCATTATTTGTCTGTTGTTCAGTGACATAAAGAACCCTAAATTGCTAACTGACAGAATGAAACCACTGAAGCATTCTTGGTAGAAGCATTCCTTCCTTGGGAATTATAGCAGACACTTTTTGTGTACCACTTCAAATTCTTTCAGCCATCATCTTTTACTTAAGACATGGCTGCAGTAAGCAGTTCTACACAGATTTCAACCACTAGCCTGTGTAGTTAGTCTGACAGCATTACCTCAGACATGTTCCATATGCTCCTTATGTCCTGCCATGAGGTCCCTCTGATTCCATGGGAATCATGGAATTCCATGCATGTGAGAGCTCAACTCTCACACATGCAGAACTGGTAAGTGCAGAGGAGTTAATATCAATTCTTACAGGTGCTAAATGCTGATGAATACAGGCTTCAGTCACTCTTAATGGGGCCAAGTCATCAAGCCTTCCTAGTATTGGGTATATCTTCTTCCCTATTTAATATTCCTCTATTTCTCATTTCTCACAATGAGATATAATCCTCAAACTTGCACTTAAGACTTTGTCTCAAGTCTCTTTATTGATTTTTTAAAAAACAAATAACAGAGGAATGCATTAAAATTCTTATTAAATATATACAGCACAATTTTTCATATATCTGGTTATATATAAAATATGTTGATACCCATTCCTGTCTTCAGACATGTACTTTGGATAATGATGTCCATCACATTTCTGCTTTTTAAAAAAAAAATTGGGGGGGAGGGGCATTAACAGGCTATGAAAGAAAGTAAAATCTATAATCTCTAAACCAACAAAGCCCCAAACTGTGGTGATGGGAAGCAAAAATTCTGTGAGTGTTATTTGGCTTAATAATGAAAGACATCCTGTTATCATCCCTTTGATTCCCAGAACTGTGAATCATGTCTATAGGAAAAACAGCACCATATGTGGGTTTCTGGTTCAAAGTACATGTCATAATCTATAATAAGAGACTACAATGACTTTTCTGGTACTCTTAATTTTTGTTATTCTGTTTAGTATTTTGTTCCAAGCAAACTTGAAAAAATATTTGACATAGAGTAGATTCTCATAAATATTTGAAGTAGTGCTTTAAATCCAAATGAACTAAAATCCAAATGATAAAGAGAAGATGAGCATAGCCTCTGCACCAAGATAAAATGCATAAAGCTTTCCATATCTTTTTTAAGAGACAAACATGTCATTAACATATAAAAACAGGTTTGTGTTTTAAGGAAGAAAAAGAAGCATTTCAAGAAAAATGAGAAATTATATCCCATCTGATTCAAATGTATGACTGTCAAGATCATTGTACTGTCATGTGTAACTAATTAAAACAAATTTTAAAAAGAAGCATTTAAGAATGAGAAATGGTAGGCAGGTTAGTACAGCTGAAGATTATAACTAGTGGGAAAGAACTCAAATACCTAGCACTAGAGTTAGTACCTTGTTACTTGTTGTTAAAACATTTTAGGAGATATCACTAGTCCATACCTCTTCATCTATCTACTATCCTAAAGACCAAGGAAAGACTGTCCAAAAGGCAAAAAGAAGGATGGGAAAGAAGAAAGGAAAGTGATATAAGATACAGAATAGAAGGAAAGAATGAAATGAAATAAATTGATATCAAGGAAAAGGAACATAGGATGTGTTTCTTGGTATCTCTGTTGAACTGTGATTGAAGCTATGTAAGATTAGTTGCCTCTAGAGAAATAATTTTATAGTTTAAAACTATATTAAGCAAGCTTCTTTTAAATCCTTGATTTAACTTTTTCCTCAAATTTTATACACCAGAAGAATAAAATGCTGTTCTTGAAATTTAAAAAAAATGAACTAATTAAATGAACCACATAAACCAGCAGTTCCAGAAAATGTTTAATAATAGTACTTAAGAAGAATGCTACTGATAGTCACAATGTCTTCAATGATCCCCCTTCAGTGAGACACTGGCTTTTGGGCTGCCTCAGATATGTTATGATCCCAAGGTGAGAAAGTATCCATCTATTTCTATTATAGTGGGCATTTTTATCTAAAATCATCACTGAATTTTAGTAAATACATCCCATCTTTCAAAAACTATTTCCACATTTTAAAAGGATTTAAATATTTTAATTCAAGAAGTAGAACACAGAAACACAGAAGCTCCATAACTTTACAAACAATAAATTAAACAATATCAGAAAATGCTTTAATTTATACTATCTAAATTTCATTCATTACTTTAGTATAATAACTCATCTCAGCATCTACAATTTTAACAAATGTCTGGAAAGTTTTTTGTTCAAAAACTGATGCTGGTCTGACAGAAACACATTTGAAAATGTTCTTTTTCTGGTCATAGTTTCCAATACACCTATGAACTCGGCCTCTAATCAGTCTTGGAAGTTCACGATCCTGTTTTTCAAAACATAAATATTTTTTAAAACTTGTTACTTCATCTAAATTTTAATTTTTTAACAAATAATGTAACAACTAGAAAGAATCACCCCAAATATTATACTTTCCTCACCTGAGTCAGGGCCCCACTGCTGACAGAGTCTATGACAGTTAGTCATATATGGATGCCCTATCACAGAATAAAGACACGAACTTGGATAGGGCTTCTTACAAGATAGCAAGATGCTGCTTATTAAATAACTTAATAATTCTTAATGTAATGGCCCATAAATTATCCACTCTTCTGTCAGACTGTCAAGAGTTCCACTTTCAGTACATGGCAGAAAAGGTGGTTCATATCAACTAAATACCAGCTGAGAAGTAGAATAGCTGGACTAAAAAAAAAAAATGTTTAAAATCCCCTGCATAGGCATCAGACATATCAAAGCAGTGAGGAGTTATATAAACCTCATCTGGACAGCATGAAAGTTCAAGATGAAGCCTGATTTTGGGATGCATTCTCCTTTAAAATATCTGCCATTACAGAAAGGTAATTTAGAATCTAAAAACTGAACAGAGATTTTAACGGTCTTAGAGCTGGGAAAACAAAAAATGGAGTCTGATGATCCCAAGTAAAGAGATTCTAGCAATCACTCCCACCCTACCCCAGGTTTAGGGTTGGAACCAAAACAAAGCTACACATTTAAGGGAAATAGTTAATCAGAATAAAAGACCAGAAATCTCCACACCCCCTCAATCATGAATGAAACTATAGCATTCAGAAACCTCTTTCACTAAAAGGTTATGACTTAAAATAGAGGAAAAGACTTGATGATTTTTAAAATGGACTACAATAAAATGAACAATTTCCCTCCATTATAGCCACCATTAAAAGTAAAAAAGCAAACCATGGAATATGAAAAAAATATTTGAAATAAATATTAACAAAAAGTTTGTGCCTAGAACAGCTTTTCAAAAAAATCACATAAATCAATAATAAAAAGACCACTAATTCAATTGGAAAAAAGCAAGAGACCTATCAGACTTTACAAAAGAAGTTATCTAAATGGCCAATAAACATATGAAATCGTGCTCAGCAACACTGGTCACCAAGCAGAGAAATGAGGTAACATTTATCTTGCTCAGAAAGGCTACAATAAAAAAGACAATATTAAATGTTGATAAAAATGCAGAGAGGGGTTGGGGATATAGCTCAGCTGGTATAGTGTTGCCTTGTTCAATCCCCAGCACCACACACAAAAAAAATAGAATGCAAAGAAACCATGACTCTCCTACAATCCTTGATGGTGTATGAACGGATACAATCCTTGGAAAATCCTTTGGCAATAACCACTATATTAGCTCTATAATGTGGCAATTTTACTTCTACAGATACACCAAACAGAAATACATGCATATGCACAAAAAATAAAACAAAAAAGTTCATATTCATTATGCTTATTATTCATAACGGCAAAAAAACTTTTTAACTAGCCCAAATGCCCATGAACAATAAAATAAAATTCCAAATTGTGGAATATTTGCATAACCAAATACGTAGCAACGTAAATGAATGAACTATAGCTACATTCAATAATATAGATGAATCCTACAAACATTGTGTTGAGTGATAACAACCATACATTTTTCAAAAGATATACCATATGATACTATTTATGGGAAGAGGTTCAATGGGGCTTCAGAGATGACAACATTTTACTTCTTAACTTGGGAAGTGTTCACTTTGATGCTTCATAGCACTATACAGTTAGAAACACTGTACTTTTCTGTATATATTATAGCTCAATAACAGGGTTTTTAAAAATACTTACACTGGAAAAAATAAACTTCCAAGATATTAAAATAATTAACATGACAATTACTATTTCTTGATCACCTACTTTTGAGTCAGGCACTATGCATTTGTTTTATCGTTTCATCTCCACAATAACTTTTCAAAGCAGGAATTCATCTCCCCATTTGTAGATATTTTTTTAATATTTATTTTTTAGTTATCAGCGGACAAAGTATCTTTATTTGTATGTGGTGCTGAGGATCGAACCCGGGCCACACGCATGCCAGGCGAGCGCGCTACCGCTTGAGCCATATCCCCAGCCCCATTTGCAGATATTTAAAAACCTGAAGCTCAAATAGTTTGAGCAGCTTACTTATGTCATAAGGCTGGTAAATACTGAAGTATACTAAACATTGGAATCCAAGTGTGATTTCAGAATTGAGGCCAATTTCAGAAGTAAAATCAATAAAACATGTAGGTCTTAAAAGGTCTCCAGCCTCCTTTAGGATCTCTAGCCTTTGTTACCTAGCCTTTGCTTATATCCCAAGCCACTCCTGCTTTAACTTCAGAATCCCATACCCTCAACCCCTTCACTTACTAATTCTCACTGTGGTAATTATATATAGCTCCCTGAACAAGTCAGACTTTCTCTTAGCTTCATGTCTTGCCATATGTTGCCCCCTCACCTTAAAATGAATCTTCCCCACCTATTGCCCTACCAACACTTGGGCTTATTTGGTTCTTATGGGTTCTTAAATATCTAAGATAATACAGGTGATGATCTCTTTGAACATCCTTCTCTGATCTGGCCCACTCTTCTTATCTACATCTGTAGCACCCTTCTTATACCTCTATCATGTAACATTATAACATTTATGTATTTGTCTTTCTATTTGAAATTAGAAATTCTTTAAGAGAAGGAGCCATTTATCACTTGTATTTCACATTATATCTTTTGCACCCAATGCAGTGCTTGACACATAGGAAGCTCTCCAGATTAAGTAAATAACTTTAATATCTGAACTACAAGCAAACAAAATGTTTAAAGTACTAAACAAATGGAATTTCTAATACACTGAAATCACAGCCTGCATTTTTTGTTTTGTTGGCATGGTCTTTGCATAGAATGCTTTAAAAAATACTCACGATTTCATAAAATACACAAGGCAGAGTATTTTTCCCATCTCTCATAAGAAAATTCTTTGAATAATATGGGCCAGGTGTAACAGCCGAATCGAGGACAGCTAAACCACATTGAAATAAGGGGGAAAATCAACATTAGAAATGCAAATAAATAAAATAAAATGTAACAAAAAGTTATGTTTAAATAATTCCCACATCAACCTCTTAAAGTTCTATTTATAGTAATAAAGAGGACATTTTTAAAAGGAATGATATTTCTGAAACAATTTTATGGAAAAGAAAAAATTTGAGCCCTTTCTTATTTAGAAACAGATTATATGTCAAGTTCGTACAATTGACAATGGTGAGCCATCTGAAGCTTTTTCCATAGACTGTGTTCTCTATAGAGGTTAACTCCCCAGAACAGTCTACTGTATTGTAATAATAAGTACATTATTATAATAAGCATGACAGCTTAATTGAAAAACACTAAATTATAATCAGAAGTCATGCATTCCAGTCCAAGTTCTTCAACTTACTAATATTTTGTAACTTCAAGAAAAATGGTTTTTAAATTTATTTTTAATGTATTATTCAGGGTATACAACAAGATACATACATATATGGTACTGAAAATGTGAAATAATTAATACAGATAAGCAAAATTAACATATCCATCACCTTCCACAGTTACCTTTTTTCATGTGGAAAGAGCACCTAAGATCTATTCTCTTCAATTTTTCAACATACAATTCATTAACTATATTCCTCCATGAATACATTAATTAGATCTCTAGGTTTACTCTACAACACTGAAAATCTTTACCCTTTTACCTATGTCTCCCCATTTCCTTCCCCTTGAGCAAACTGTTCAACCTCTTTACAAAGCTATTTCTTTACCTGTAAAATACAAATACTAATCCATGCTTATCTTCAGAAATTTTTATCAAATTACATTGTTTATTCCTTCAGTAACCATCTACTAAGTACTAGTAGTAGGCATTTGATGTTTTGAGGTTCACTTACATTTATCCTAATAAGATCCAGATTTTCCTTTAGGAAACCTCTATTGGAAACCACATCTATTCCATTTTTAGATGTGGGTGAGCTATGTCCCCTTCCACAGATCCAGGGGTGACCTGTGACTTAAGCCAAGGCATATTCCATTCCCCAGCTACACAGATCAGGGTTTCAGTGATGGGTATGGTACCATTCAGAAATAATGATACCCAAAAGTCCATTAGTTTATTTCTTGGAAAGAGCAACCAAAAGAAATTCATCTAAAAATGTGACAATGTGGTGTAAATCTAACACAGGTCAGGCAAGGTCGTGTTCCTTTTGAAATCTTCTAGACACTGCATTCTTTGAATTATGACTCTTTTCTCCAACTCAAAGCTGGCAGGATAATATCTTCCAATCTTTCCCTGACTCTGACCTTCCTGCTTCCCTTGTAACTATGTTAGGCCCACCAAGATTTCCAAGATAATCTTCCCACTTTGAAATCCTTAATTTAACCATATCATCCAAGTCCCTCAACCACATAAGGTAATATTCATAGGCTTTGGGAATTCAGACACAGACATCTGAGGTGCTAACAGTCTGCCTACCATAGATATTATTAAATCTGCAATTGTCATTACTATTATTAAAATTGCAATTCTTTGTATATATTTCAGGGAGCAGCAGAAATAACACTTTTATTTCAGAGGGAAAGAACTACCCAAGATAGAAGTTAAAACAATGAAGAAACACCATACCTAAATCTCAAAAACAATACTGGCTGAAAATGCAAGCTTTGTATTTCTATAATACATAAACCAAAAATATAAGCTTATGGAATCAAATGTATACTATAAAATGATAAAAATCATGGACATAAAAGATACTACAGTAGCTCTCTCTAGAGAGGCAAATATACAGGGGCATCAAATACACCTATGACATGGTCATATGGATATTATATTCTCTGTACGTTTCCATATGTTTGGATTATTTTGTAATTTAAATAAATACTATTATTAAACTTAAATAATGGAAATAAATATGTTTTGAATCTCAAATCTTACTTGTTTATCCCTTCATTCTAGGTAATATCAAGTTCCAGAAACATTCTACAAAACTCACCTACTTTTAAATGCTAATTTAGAAAAAGATTAGTTATAGGGTGGTTATTCTTATCAGTAAAGTATTCTTAATGTTCTTTCAGAGTATTTCAAATATGATTTAATTTATATTTGGATGAGCTTTGCTCCAAATGCTAGATTTAGAATAAGGAGATTCAGATTCTAGATTCTTTTTTTATTTATTTTTTATTTTTTATTATTAGTTGTTCAAAACATTACAAAGCTCGACATAATATTTCATACATTTGATTCACGCGGATTATGAACTCCCATTTTTACCCCACATACTAATTGCAGATTCACATCGATTACACATTCACTTTTTTACATACTGCCATACTAGTATATGTTGCATTCTGCTGCCTTTCCTATCCTCTACTATCCCGCCTCCCCTCCACTTCCCTCCCCTCCCCTCCCCTCCCATCTTCTCTACCCCATCTACTGTAATTCATTTCTCTCTCTCGTTTTTTTCCCTTTTCCCCTCACTTCCTCTTATATGTAATTTTGTATAACAATGAGGGTCTCCTTCCTTTACCATGCAATTTCCCTTCTCTCCCCCTT